CTTAGTAACGTACATTCTTTCTTTGCCCTTTTCTACCTGAATGACAATTTCAGCCTTATTTACTAGGGTGATGAACTTCCGCTTTTTCATTGAAGCGGGCATTTTTGTGGGCAGACAAATCGGCTTTCACGATCGCTTCATGCAATTTACGTTGGACTAAGCATACACAGTCACTGCTACCACTCCATACACGCGACGACGTGCGGCAGCAATGGGCACGCAAAGCCAACAAAGCTAGTGAACCACAACTTACTGCAGCGCAAGAAGCTCCATGTAGATGCCAATTTCGCTACCTAGTCTATGATTACGAGTTAGCATAATAAGCGGGTGTTTTCGTGCAAGTCTTAAAATATTACCACATGACCACTGTAAAGTTGTCACACATTCTTGCGGTTTGCATTTAAAGGTGTAAAGGTGTAGTTACTGCTAGTTAAATAAATTTTTGGCTTGGGCACTCTGCAGTGGCTCGTAGCGATGAACGAATGATCATCATCATGAACGCCAGCTTCTCTTTTTCGTAAACAGTCATGGTGGCGGCTACCCAAGTGCACTGTGGTCATAGTTTTTTTGCAATTCAAGTGTATTACTCATGCATTTGAGCAATTTATTAATGCAGGTAATGTCACGATAGTGAATTATTTACACACTTTTTTCTAAGAATTTCGTTATTCAAGGACTTCTGTTGAAATATGTTTCGTATTCGTGAGTCATCAAATGTAGTGACTCTCTTGTGCATTTACAGATTCTTCGAAAATATTTCGTCGCAGTAAGAATTGGGTTCCCTCAAAATTTAGTTATTGCATGTTACGACGGTACATAAACTTAGCCTGAACTTCTAAAATGCCATTCCAGAAACCTCAAGGTGCATGTTTCATAAAAAAACGTTAGTTTGAAAGGAAACCAAGGTTCGGTAGTTTGCATGCTATTAGCAAGCTCAGAAGTAGGCTTTTCAGTTCATTGCATTGACAAAGTGCAATACTCAGTTACTTTGAGTATAGAGGTTCCTTCCAAGGCACCCATCGGTAAATTAAGTCTTGCCCTACAGCTGCTCTTGATCAAGTTTTACGCGAAATTTGAGCAACCTATGACATCGCAAGGGTAGGGCAAAACTTCTAGGTTGCTATTAGGTGGAATTTTATGAGCCAGCATTGCACACTTAGCAGCAATGAATAATAAAATTATGTTTAGACTATGCCGCATCAGCGTGCAGAGCTTGGCAAAAATGAAACCTTTTTTTTTCACCTATGTGTTGAGAGGCAACGGCACCAGAAATTGTTTTCTTTCAATTTATCAAAAGAATGCACGCGTAATATTTTATACCATTTTGGAACCTTTTTTTCTGATATTTCCTTTTGCAATCTTTGTTTTTTTAAGGCAGTCTTACTATTTTTCTAAATTATATTGAGGGTCTGCTACGTCACGATTTTTGTACTATTGCATTCCACTGGTGGTGCATGTTGTGTGCTACATTTGCTCAATTTCTCAATTACTAATATGCAAATCTTTAAAATGCTTTAGATGTTCTTGGACATCAACCTTTCACTTTATCATGAATAGTTGTTTGCTTCAAGTGTCTTTCTAAGGGTACTGACACAAAAACTTTGGCCTCGCGTTTTTCTGCTGCAATATATTGCTGGGGGCCTGTTAGTCATAACATGACGCATCCTTTGCTGCAGCACATGACAGATAAATAATTATAGGCCCCTCATTATTGACCACTTTCGGTTTCGATTTGAGAGAGAGCTTCAAACACGAGAAGCAACCGAGTGCAACTATCAACAGCTAGTGTGTGCAGCTCTCGACCACACTGGCACACAGAACTGTGACACACTTTTGCACGGTAACAAACCTATGCACATGGATATTTGTATACACAGCTCACTTATTTTGAATTGAATCGTTAGCAGCTATTACCATGTACCTGAAGAAATTATGGAAACTACCTTGACATACTCAATCATAAGTGCACACATTCAATCATTTGAAAGGCATCAGTATGAATATGAGTGAGTGACAAGTGTCCTGAGAAAATCTAAGTAAAAACATCAGCGATTACTTACATGAGTGCAAGTTTCCATGTAGCATCATTGTGAGGGAATGTCAATGAGTGCGAGTCAGTCTGAGCTTGAATGCAAGTGACTACTCATGATTTGAGTGAGTGAAGAGTGATGTGATCATGAACATGAGTGAACACTCAATGATGAGAGTAGGCGTGAGGGGGCGAATGGGTGAGCACTGAAGGGGGGAGTAGAGGGAATATTCTTCATTGAAGTTATGTGTGGATGTGAGTAAAGTGTGTGTGCAAGTAAAATGAAGACTTATCAATGCAAGTACCAAAAGATTTCAAGCAAGCCCCCCCCCCGCTCCCCCTACAGCGAATAATAACCTTACCAGATTTGGGAGGGGGCACTTTCTCGTTGCTCGACTAGTCCCTGGCACTTATTTAACACCTCCCGCAAAAGGGAGAAGGGCACTTGCTTGGGTGGGGGTGCTTGCTTCGCATTTTGCAGTACCTACAAGTCTGATTATGGGTAATTGTCAAGGGGTGTGAGCAGGTGTAGTATGACAATTATATTGAACAGGCAACTATGAATTGGAGTTTGTACTCATGCTTATAAGTAACATTTTTCCACGAAAACTTCTGTATCTGTTTTATTACTTTTCCATATGCATCACTGTTATTCCTGTGATACTACAAGCTTTTTCATTACTCAAGCCTGTTTTTCATGCAATCTATACATCATCCCCAATAATCATGATCCTGTAAGACTGCAGTATATAGAAATAATTAAATAAATATTCGGGATATCTCGGTCTACCCACAGTTCTCCATCACGGGGGGGGGGGGGGGAAGGTTCATTGCAACTCTCTTGCCCTACTTTAAAGTGAAAGTATGAGGCATATTTTGCACACTCCCCTCTTGGGGGAAACCTGTAGTTTAGGTGAAACCTGTTTCACCTCTTAGATGAAACCTCTGACTGTATGTTCATGCACTTTCCATGCACTAGCTTAAAGCCATTTATCGTGTGCGCCTTACAAAATCCATTCGTTTCCAAACCGTTTGTGTATTAGATACCCCTGTCACAGTAGACATTTCAGTGTAATTCGAATGGAATGAGATTTGTATATAATGAGATTATGTGGCTGCTACAGAGATATATACCATTAGAATTCAATGAATTAGGCAGTTCGAGAAACACATTTGCCGTCGCAGTCAAACAAAATGTCTACCTTCTTAAGAGGTCGCATTCAGCATTACCGATTTGACCTGCATGCATGCGTACATGCTAATAATGTAGCTTTTGTAGGGCATCTATAATTTGAACTAGAATGCCGTCACAAATGTCTCTACTTTTCACCTGAGTGGCACTTGGATGCCGGTGTTGTCGGCGATGATGTAAACATACGGATGCCTCTGGGCATGTATATGCATGTATCCGTAGTGATGGCTCAGCTGCATGAGCGCAATGAACCCAGGCAGAGAAGAGACTCTTGCTTTCATAAAGCTGCGGCAGTTCTGTTGCAAGCTGTCCACGTGCATGTGCAAGACCGTGTTTTAAAGCGAAGAAATGCGAAACGCTCTGGGTTTTTGTTATGTATGAGGTTATGTGGGAGGTTATGCACCGCACGCCAGGTGTGCATATGTTACTTCGCATTCTAGAAAACCTAAATAGACACAATAAGGACGTTCATTTTGACGCTTTCTTTTCTGTCATGCTGCGCATGGTGTGTTGCTTGTGGTTATTCTATCAGCTGTTTGTACTGGTTAAGTGGGTCATTCTGGCTTATAGTGGCCATAAATTATGTGATATATAAAAATTCTGTGCACATTTATTTAGCAAATTCTTTCCACTTGTCTGTTCAGAAGAATAATAAAGTAATTGACAGTTACAAGGGAGCACCCACCCTGTCTGTGTTTCTTTCAATTGTGTGGTAGTTATTTTTGTGCGAAACTGACTATTCATTTCAGCATACCTTCACAATTTTTATCACTCTACATTTCTTTTCATCAACCTTTCCAGCAATTTCTTTCTGAATGGTCAACATTGATATCATGTATGGTCATAATGGCGTTACTTTTTTCGGGATGTGTACACCACATCCCGAAAAAGCTTCACAGTTAGGTAAATTTAGTGCAAGGTCATGCCGTCGTTTGAACGCCAGGTTTGATAATACATAGATGGCTACTCCACCATGATTGCTTGATGGTCTGTGTGCGTATTCAGATGAGTAGTTGGGGAAGCCGAAAAGATTTTTATCAGCGTCTGAAAGCCAAGTTTCGGTGATACAAATGATAGGAAAGGGCTTTGTGATTGTAGAGAGAAGATTTTGAATGTCGTCGTAATGTTTCCGCATACTACGAGCATTGAAATGAATAAGCGAACATGAGCTGTTAAAAAGAAAATGATCCACCTCCGAAGTGTTTAGGTAAACTGACATGGTGAATCAGATACAGCGATGGTGAAAAAAAACAACAGCGTATGCGTAAAAAAAAACAAGGATATCTAGATTATAAAGAGAGATCAGATTCCTTAGTAATGCGGTAAACCTGACTGTCGGTAGTTTTCCTTGCCTTAATTGCACAATTTTCTGTCCATAAGAATTTCCAGTTATTGGCTTTCTTTAGAGTTAGAGCCTTAGTGAATAATGATTTATTTGAAGGCGTTAGGTGATCATTTACGTACACAGGGCTGTTGATTGCAGAAGAGATACCAAGATCCCCAAGACACAGCTTAGCTTTACGTGCCTTAGAAATGAATTCATTCTTCTTCGAACGCGAGCAAAACCTAGCAACAACATTCTTTTTTTGCTTGACCTTCGTTGGGACACGGTGCACAATGTCAAAGTCCGAGGGCACAAGGGGGCAACCTACAGTATCGCCAACGTTTTGCAAAATCGCTACACAGTCTTCCCCTTGCGTGCAGGGAATGCCCTTGATTTCTACATTGTTGATTCTGGAGTACTGTTCAAGTTCTTGAACCTTTTTTGAGAGCAAGTTGTTTTCGTTCAACAGTCTTTTATTATCGGCAGCGAGTACCTCTTTTTCTGAGCGCAGTGTCTCAACAACGTCATTCAGGATTTCCATGCTCTGTTTTAAATCGTCAATTTCGCTTTTGAGCTCCTTAACATCAATTCCTGAAGATTGCATTCTCAACAAGGCTTTACCGAAGACATCATAAGCCAGACGGTCAGTCTCATTGTTAAAGTTCGCTTCAATTGCATCAATGCGCTTCGCAAGTTTGGCACACGTCGGCATCGCTTAACAAGTTTCAGTCACACCATAAATTGCAAAAGAAAAAAAAAACTACAGTACTTCGGTAGCAGCAGCAACAGCGAATTGAACAGAAGGGTAACCTTAGAATACTTAACTACTAACCTGCACGAAAGACAGAATTCACTTCAGTACGTGACCATCCCGCTGTCGCTGCTGCAATGGAGCCTTGGTGGGGACGGTAGCTTTATAAGTGTCAATTCAGAGCAGGAGCGTCACACAGTAGGGCCGCAGGAAGCTCCTTCTGGTGTCGTCAGGCTGCCCTCAACGGGTTGACGGATCGGCACAAATGATGAATTTGATCAGTCAAGGCCTATGGTAGCTCCTCCTCACGGCGGCAGAATGCCCTACACGTGCCGGTAATCGCGCCGGAAGGACACGATACGGTATCTGTACGAAAGACAGAATTCAATTTAGTACGTGACCATTCCGCTGTCGCTGCTGCAATGATGGCTCAGGGTATTTCAAAGCAGTTGGGTTTAGGGACAGGGAGGGCAAAATAGACTTTAAGCGGGTAGAATTAACTGGAAGGAGGTTATATGATTGGTGGCTAAAGTCAAAGCACGAGTGAAAATTAAACGCATCACAGCAAAGTACGAATCCTCAACCTCACTTTTTAAAAGCGGAAAAATAAATCTAGTTTTTTGTTCATTATATATTACGGCTTGGTGGCACAAGCCACCACCCGATCTAAAGGGTACAGTCATATCCATTCATCCATCAATCCGGATGTAATTGCCTAACACACCCGGACTTCTAAGTAACACGTCCTCGCATCGATAATCCGTGACGAAATCTTGAAGCCAACGTCGTGGTTTTCTCAGTCTGCGCAGGTCATCAGTAGCTAACAGCGCTTGAGTGGATTGCGCAGAGTCATCGTGCAGTTGTCGGGTTGTGTCTTGTGTTTCCTCATGAAAGCACTTTAACTGTGTTTCGCTGGCTAGCCTTGTTTCTGTGCGATTGTTCTTCGTTCTGGTGATTGTGAAAGTTTCTTTGTCGCGGTCAGTTATCGTGTATGGTTCGTCGTTCCAAGGATCGAGCTTCCCGGCTTTGAATGATGTCTCGTACCATGACTTGGTCACTTACTTTATAGGGTGCTGGCAGATGCTCTCAGTCGTGTTTGGTTTTCATACCATTTAACCATTTAGGTAAGCTGTTATGTTGCCAAATGCTTCTTGCCGGACCATCTCAATGTCTTGTTGGGGCTCGTGGATGTCTACCTGCAGCTGGGTGTCAATTATCCTTCGAGGTGTGTAATTAAACAACAGTTCGAATGGTGAAATTTTGAGTCCAGCGTGGAACTGTGCGTTGACTTCGAAGGTGGTTTTGGCAAAGTATTCACTCCAGTGGTCGACGTCTCCATTAACATTGTTGCGTTAAGGTTGGAGAATTCGACCGTTAGCTCTTTCAACAAGTCCGTTTGTCCGTGGTGCGTACGGCACTGTGAGAGTGTGTTCGATGTGATGATGATGTAGATAGTCATTCATTGTCATGGACGTGAACGCGCTGTCATTGTCACTGATTATGGTTCTTGTAACTCCGAATTTAATGACAATCTCTTCTTCAATGAATTGGATCACATGTGATGCACACTTGCTCAGCCCTGCCCATGTGACAATGAACCTCGTAGCTGAGTCTACAGCTGTTATGATATATTTGTTCTCATCAGCTGTGTTGAGTGGCCCAACATGGTCGATGGCCACTGTGTGGAAGGGTGTTTGTGGCATCTCCCTTGGGTTGAGAGTTCCTGGTTGTACATCCGTTGCGTGGTTGTGCTGCGGAAACACCCGGCACTCTCTCACATACTGTGCCATGTCCTGGTCCATATTCTGCCAGTAGTAACGTTTGGGTAGTTTGGACTTCGTTCGCAGGGCGTCTCCGTGACCAGCATGATCGTGGTGACTTTGCATTAGAGCAGATTGTAGCCATTTGGGCACGACAACTCGTTGTATTGTCTTCCCATGTTGGGTTACACTGTGCATGAGTATGCCATTAACGACCTGGTAGCTTTTGCCAGCTTTGCTTAGGTTTCCCGTTTCAGTGGCAGCTTTGATACCTTTGATAATAGTGACCAGTTTTGCATCTTTGCGCTGGACTTCACACAGACGTGAATCATTTGCCCTCAGCACAAACACTGCGTTCACCATTCTCGATAGTGTGTCTGCCACGGTATTTGTCTTGCCAGATGTGTGACGCACAGTGAAATGGTATGTGTACAGGTCTAGGACCATGCGTGCAAATCGCCTGCTGGGATTGTTTTTGGACATAATGTGCGTAACAGCCCATATGTCTGTTATGAGCTCGAAATGTTCTAGTCCTTGCAGGTAACAGTGGAAACGTTCGGTTATGGCCCAGTGAGCTGCGATTGCCTCAAGTTCCGTCGAATGCTGTGGCTGTCGCTGTCGGAGACCTTTTGGCTTGCATATTCCACTACCCGGCCGTGTTGTGTGACCATGTGTCTGCGTAAACACTGCTCTGAGCACTGTGTGGGAGGCGTCGACATGTACTTGTGTCGGCAGGTTTGGGTTGAACGTTGCCAAGATAGGTGGCTTTGTCAGTCGTGCCTTCAGCGTGTCAATAGCGCCTTGAAATTCAGGCGTTCACTGAACGATGGTATTTTTGTCTCATGAGAAGTGTCGGTGGTTAAGCAATTTTCGCGGAGTATTTTATGTAGTTGCGGTAATGTGATGCGAGTCGAAGGAATGATCTAACTTCGCTTTTTGTTTTTGGCACCATGTAGTTCTTTATCTCTGCAATGCGTTGTGGGTCGATCGTCACTCCTTCTTGTGATATCAGAAATCCAAGGAATGGTATATCCTTTTCTGCAAACATACACTTGCTGTATACAACACGCAGTCCTAAGTCATGAAGAGCCTTCAGTACCTTGTCAAGCACTTCAATGTGTTCATCAATAGTGTCAATGAAGATGCACACATCATCGACGAAGACGATCACATGACCACAGTCGATGAGTTCTTGAAGACCTTCATTCATGACGCTCTGCATTGTTGCGGGTGCTGTGTATAGGCCGAAAATCATTCGTAGTGGTTTGAAGTGTCCATGTTCTGTCACGGTAGCAGCTTTCGAAATGTCTTTTTCACGTTGTGCTATGTTCAAAAAGGCTTTCTTGACATCCAGTTTTGACAGATATCGTGATCTGGCCACTTTCTGAATGAGTGTGTAGTGGCATCGGGTAGGCTCGCTTGACCGTCTTCGCGTTCAATAATCGATAGTCTACACACAATCGTTTCGATGTAGTCTCATGATGTGGTTGGTCGACAACGATTACAGGGGAGGCGTAGGCGAACTTTGAAGGGCAGATGATACCTCTTCTGATCCACTCTTGTGTTTCTTCCCGGATGAATCTCCTGTTGGCATCGCTTGTGCTGCAGGGCTGCATCCTGACCGGCTTTTAGTCAGTGAGCTCGATTGCATGTTCGACATGTGTGCACAGACCCAAGTCATTGTCTGCGTGGGTGAAGACATTATTGTTGTTCAGCAGAAACGCTTTCAACATTTTTGTTTGACTCTCTGTGAAATCTTCGGGAACAGGTTTACATCGCATCAACTGGGCGATTTCGTCCGCTGATAGTAGTTGGGGTACTTCACGTGTCACTGCTGTCTTCGTATCAATGGCTCCACACACTTCGATGACGTCTGTTGAGTGGACTTCTGGTTGGCTCGACATTTCTTTGGAGTATTTGATGCCTTCGCTCTTTACGGGGTTTTCCGTGCTCAGTTCTGTCACGAAGTTTGACAAAGACGGTTGTGTGTCAGAGTCACTGCTGTTTGATATACCGACATTCTTTTTCAGTTTCTGTATGAACTCTATACTGTGAATGCCGTTATCATAGCGTTCAATATAGTAAAACGGAATGGCCTGTCTCCAGTCAATGCCTACCATGACTTCGTATGGGATATTTTTGATCCCTTTAGCTTCTACTGTAGCACAGGCATCACCAATGATGATCCTCGCTTGAGTCACACCGGCTGGCTTGCACGAGTTGCCAAATGGACCACCCAATACACAGTCCACGTCAGTAGCAACCTCGAAATTGTGCTTTTGTGCAAACTGCTCGTCGATGAGTGTTACTGCAGAGCCTGTGTCCTAAACTGCTTGTGATGTGGTGTCATTTCCAATGACCTCTAGTAGTATTATCCTTTGCCCACTCGTCTCTGCGATGGCGACTTTATTGATGCCTTGTGGTGAGCTTTTCACTTGGAGACGTAGCACAGCTGCTGCTTTTTCATCTTCTGTGCGTGTGTCTGGATCAGGGCAGTCGATTGCTCTGTGTCCTTTCCTTTTGCAACGTGCGCACGTGTCGGCCGGCAAGCGTACATACTTTGGTGTCGTTGTGGTCGTTGGTTCAGCTGCATTTCTCTCGCTGAGCTTTGACAATTTTCTGACTGCCGGAGGTTCTTTTTGTCGCTGATTCCAACATCTCGTCTATCCAGCTGTTGGGCGTAGTGCAAAAACTCGGTGATAGTTCCACGTCGCAGGTCGTGAAAAGCTGCTAACATGGGTTTCACGCTTATTGACCGTACTCCCTGTATGAGCCAGTCAACCACATCGTCGTCAGACCGTTTATACGAGGCTCGTCTGATGCGTTGGAGGCGTGCGTACATATAGTCTGTCATAGTTTCATTCTCTCGTTGAGCTCTTTCGTCGACGCAGGTGACCCATTGACAGAACAGGAGAGGCTTGTCAAATTCAGTTTTTAATGCCGTCACCTATGATGTCCAGTCGGCGTGCAGGTGCCCAGTAGTTTGGCGCCAAGCGGCTGCGCGGCCCCTAAGTCGCGAGATTCCTACGTTGATTGTTGCTGCCTCAGTCCATGCGCACCACTCGCGCGTTTATTCTACGGCAGTCTTCCACTGAGCGAAGTTGTCTGATGAAGTTCCCGAATAGGTCGGCAGCGTTCCCGTGAGATTTGGTGTCGTAGTTATTTGCAGCTGAGCACTGGTGGCATTGTCGTTCGATGTGCCTGGCGGTGTTCCAAACTGCCTTTCAAGAAGTCGCGCCATCATTTGCAACGTAGTGTTGAGCATCGCGAGCTCCATTGTTCCGTTTGCGTTTTCGTTCGGCGTAGTTCGGTTTTCGATGGCGTCCATGCGTGTCAAACGAGTTGGAGAGATGCTGTCTTCGAAAATACTTTGAGGCGTTGTAAGCTTCAGCTCGTTCGTGCCGAAGCCACTAAAGCCACTTCGTCCGCGATCAGCGTGGAGTTTTCCACTTCGGTGTGGTCGGTCTCCATATTGGTCGTTGTCGCTGGCTGCACTTGCTGTTGCTAAGCCTCGGTACGTACAGTGTTATCTTCTCGCTTCGTCTTCTGTTCTACTTCGGCCATAGGTTCGTTGTTAAGTTCTCGTCGCGATGTCAGGAGTTGATGCGCACGAAGACACGACTGACTGAACGACAAACAACTGATTTATTAACGATTCAAAGAGATTACATAACTGATACCTCGAGAACCGCTTCGCACTCGCCAACCATCTGTCGCATCCCCCTTGCGGCCACTATCTTCAACTGCTAGTAGTTCCAAAACATCACAATAGGTAGCGCCAGTTGTCCGTAATGAATGTATTTGCCTAACAATAAACTATATTTGATGAAATAATCAATGGCGTCTGCAGGCATCAGATGCGTCGAGATTGCTATTTGTGGCTCATTTGAAGCACAGTACTGCACGTTATCACTGAGGTATTTATTACTAGTGCATTCTCGGTTAACAAAAATATAATAAATATAACTGCTACTCAAGAGGAATTGACTGGGATATAAGTTGTTTCGTATTTTAATTTTGCAAGCTTGTTTATTTCTCAGATAATAGAGCTCCTGTTAGAAAATGTGGTTTCTAGGTGTTCTGTTTAATGAGTTTGCTGTATAAGAGCAAAAACCTCCGCTGTCCAATGTATTGATGTCGCAAAGTGTCCAAGAATGCCTTGGATACCTTGTGGCTTAAAAGCTGATAATATGATGTCTCTTTTATAAGCAGGGTACTCAGTTATGCCTTTGTTTATCAAAGCCTATGTGCTTGTAGCACACTGGTGTTACTTATAAACAAGTGTCTGTTACATCAATCTCTGCTATAAAAGACTTCAATGTTATTCAACTAAGTGGAACCAAACAAAGCGGTACTATTTATCTTTCACGAGCTGTCAAGTACCCGTACGAAGGAGCGCACTTGGTACAGAGGTGCCATGATGTGGTGCTGTCAACAATTTCTTTTGATGCAAGAAGGAGCTGAGCAATTGATGGCATAAAGGGACCACCTCCTCTTGCCAAGGTGACATCATTGGATTTAGTCGGGGGGTTTACCTCTACACTACATGCATTGTGTTCTTGAAGGAGTAACCCAGCAGATCACAGAGCTTTGGCTGACTTCCACTAGCAAAGCCTTCTACATTGGGAACAGAATTGCGGAGCTTGCGGAACAGAATTGAGCGCATCAAGAAGGTTTGCCCACCAATTTCTTTCACCTGGTTGCCAAGGCCACTTTCAGAAAGGGCCTTCTTGAAGGCGACTGAATGACAATTCTGGCTTTTATATTGTTCCGTAAAAATGACACTAGGCGTGTTTGTTCAGAATGTATATTGACACTGATGCGTATCGCATCGACTAAGATGGAGGACAGCACGCACAACCTACAGACCACTTCCTCGTTGTCGTCTTCTGATCGCTGATATGTCAGCTACGTAGCATTAAATCCCCCCGGCGGTAAAAGCGCTGTCTCGATGCAAATAAATTATGATTTTCAGTAGGCAGATGCAAAGGCTTTAGCATGCTGATGTGCTCAACATCACTGGGTGTGGTTGCAGGCAGGCTTGTGGTCTCAGCTGTAGGAAAGATCTCATAGGTGACGTCGGTTACCTAGCGGATGACCCATATAGCGTGGCAACGACTTCTCTGATGTATGTCCGTGAAAGTGCGATTCAGGCTTTCGGTAAGGCCATTTGTTTGGGGATGGTAGGAAGTGGTCAACTTGTGCTGCGTTGGGGAAGAGCGCAGAAGAACGTCGAGTACTCGGGACAAAAATGCGCGGCCGCAATGCATGAGTAATTGGCGAGGAGCGTCATGGTGTAGGATGACATCGTGAAGCAAAAAGTCCGCAACGTCAGTAGCGGTGCTGGTCGGGAGCGCTCAAGTGATGGCATACCTAGTCACGTAGTCTATAGCAACGGCGACCCACTTGTTGCCCGATTTCGACTCAGGAAAAAAAACCGAGATCTACACCAACACGGAATAAAGGTTCGGTTGGAATGTAGATCGGTTGAAGCAGTCCAGCCAGGGGTGAAATAGGTCGCTTCCTACGTTGGCATTTATCGCAGGAGGACATGCAACGGCGAATGAACCTGGCGAGACCGCGCCAAAAGAAGCGGTGACGCACACGGTCCTGCATCCGAGATACACCCAGTTAACCAGCAGTTGGTTCATCGTGCAGCTCTTGCAGCACGGTTGAACGCAAATGTTTCGGCAGGACAAGAAGAAGCTCATGTCCATCTGGTTGGAGGCTAAAATACTTAGTTCTAAACTAAGTATTTCTAAAGTATTTCTAAAGGGTCTAAAATACTTAGTTTTTCAGCTTTAATAGTTGGCTGTACCCAACCTCAAGAAATAACCAATTTTAACTAGTACATATCATGAGATGCAAATATGTGCTCAAGTAAAATAGATAACTATATCAGATAATTACCAAAGTACTTTAATGTCATTTGATCACCTTAGTTGTACACGTGTTATATTTGCACAAATAATGCTGTTCAGTTTACGAAAAAACAGTATTTTAAATGTTGTATTTGTGTAATGAATAATCTTTCTATGAGAAATCTCTAACAGTAAATAGTGATTCAGTTTTTTCCAATTATATGAACATACACAAGAAGATAAAAGACAATTCATCCTTATATTCAGTAGAGATAGACCAAGTCTCACTCACGTGCTCTGTCATTGCCCCAAGGCACAAAGCACAAGGGGCTATGCAGGACTACCAAGGAAGAGTGCAAATGAGCTCTACGCAGCTTGGACCTCGAGGCATAAGTGCACACGACACAGTGCAGGGGCAAGGCGTCTCAGCTCTGACATAGCAATTGCGCTCTCTGGTGTAAACACACACACTGAAAGATATCAATAAAGTCATCAATCTATACAAGTATAAAATAATTACTTACAAGCACATTAAAAAAGGTTTTGCAAAACTGGTGTTATTGAAACAAAACTACATCAGATATTGAGATCAATTTTCCATGCATTGCTCGAAATGATCGATCTGAGAGTTCGGTTGGCTTTGCACAAGCTTGCTCACTTGTGAACGGTACTTGGCTGTGTTTATTCTTCAGAATCAGAATAAGAGCAAATAATTATCAAAATTTCGTTTTGTGTGCTTCCATCTGTGCTTTTGAAAACAGCTCGTTGTACGAATACATCAAAGCAGCTTCACCACTGGCCAACTAAGTATTTCTCATGGTACTGATGTCCTAAAACAAAATTGACTCAAATATTCAGTTTAAAATTCAACACAATACTTTAACTAGTGAAATGAGTGTTTGGGTGGCACAAGCTGGCTTGCTCATGAAACGTACTTGGCTGTGTTTATTGCTCAAATGCTACAGAAGAGCAAATAGTTCTCTAGATTAATTTCATGTGCTCCCATCTGAACATTTGAAAACAGCTTGTACGCCTTCTTGTACCGCATCATTCCAACTGAACAGCTAATGGTCACAGTACTCATGTCTTGCAAACAAGAGAGGCTCAAGATGTTTTGAGCTTCCGCGCATTGCATGAAATGGTTCACAAGAGTGTTTAGTGGCACAAGCTTTCTTGTTCCTGATACGGGGCTGTGCTATCACAGAGAAGGTTCACAATATCAAGTAATTCTCAACGCTTTGTTTTGTGTGCTTTCATCTGAACATAGTGAAATAGCTTGTTGTATGCTTGCTTGTACAGCATCATCCCCATTGAACAGCTATTTGTAATGGTACTCATGTCTTGCAAACAGAAGGGGCTAGATTTTTCATTTTGAGTTCTCACGTATTGCTTGAAATGGTTGATGAGAGTGTTTTTTTGTGGCTCAAGAATTCTTGTCTGTAATACTTGGCTGGGTTGATCACTGAGAAGGTGGACAAGATGAAATTATTTTCCACACACATTTTGTGTGCTTCTATGTGAACCCTTGAAAACAGCTTCTTGTACACATTCATGTACCACATCATCACAACTTTGCAGCTAATGGTCACGGTTCTCATGTCTTGCAAACAAGAGTGGCTCATGTTGTTGTTTTGAGCTTCCACGTATTGTGTTAAATGGTTTATTAGTGTGTTTGGTGGGACATGTTTTCTTGTTCCTTATACGTGGCTGTGCTATCACAGAGAAGGTGCACAATGGCAAATAATTCTCCACGCTCTTATTTGTGCACTTGCATCTGAACCTTTGAAAACAGCTTATTGTATGCTTGCATGTATAGCATCATTCCCATTGGACAGCTTTTTGTAACGGTACTCATGTCTTGCAAACAAAAGGGGCTCAAGTTTTCATTTTGACTTTCCACATATTACTTGAAATGGTTGATGAGAGTGTTAAGTGGTACAAGCTTTCCTCTTCCTGATACTTGGCTGGGCTATCACAGAGAAGATGCACAATAGCAAATAATTCTCAACGCTTTGTTTTGTGCACTTCCATCTGAACCTTTCAAAACGACTTCTTGCATGCTTGCCTGTATAGCATCATCCCCATTGGACAGCTATTTGTAACGGCACTCATGTCTTGCAAACAGAAGGGGCCCAAGGTTTCATTTTGAGTTTCCACGTATTGCTTGAGATGGTGAAGGAGAGTGTTTTGGTGGCAAAATAATTCTTGTCTGTGATTCTTGTCACTCAGACGGTGGACAAGAGAAAATAACTTTGCACGCTTTGTTCTGTATTCTTCCATGTTAACATTTGCATCAAAACATGAACAGAAAAAGGAAAGTATTCATCTTGCTTCAACAAAACAAGTACTGCAACACATATATAGTTTTTGCTTGGCAGAAAGGTTTCATCCATACGTGAAATAAGCTGTAACAAGCTGTTTTGGAAAGCTCAGATGGATACATACAAAATGAAAAATTGAGAAATATTTGCTCTTGCGCATCAAGGTGAACTATTGATCACAAAGAAGAAAGCTTTTGCCACTAAAACAGTCAGAAGAATTTCAAGCAATGTAAGAACTGAAATGAAAATTCGAGCAATTTATGTTTGCAAGACACAAGTACAGTGACAAGCTGTCAAGTAAGGCGATGCTTCCATGCATGCGTACAACAAACTCTTTTGAAAGGATCACATGCAAGCACACGAAACAAAGCGTAGAGAATTATTTCCTCTTCCTACCATCTCAGTGACAAACACAACCAATTATCACAGACAAGAAGTTTTGAGCCACAAAAACACTCTCATCAACCATTTGAAGTGATACGAAGAAGCTAAAAAGCCCCTCTTGTTTGCAAGACATGAGTATCGTAGAAAATAGCTGTCCAATGGGGATTATGCTGTACACGCATGTGTGCAACAAGCCGTTTTCAATGGTTCAGATGAAAGTGCACAGAACAAAGCATCGAGAATTATTTGCAATTGTGCACCTTCTCTGTAATAGCCCGGCCAAGTATCAGAAAGAAGAAAGCTTGTGCCACCAAACACACTGATAAACCATTTAAAACAATGCGTGGAAGCTTAAAACAACAACTTGGGTCACTCTTGTTTTCAAGACATGAGTACTGTGACCATTAGCTGTTCAGTTCGAATGATGTGGTACTTGAATGTGCATTGATTGAAATGTGTTATCTGAGTAATTGCGTGACACAAACTTGTGCATTTTTGTTTTACCGTTTTGATTTTTTTTAAATGCCTAGAAAACATCTTTTAAAGACATCTGTCTCATTTCATTGAGGGACGTAATCTTGCAATGCCATGCAAGCATGGTTCAAAAGAACGTTGGTGTAGTGTAACTGCAGAGAGATTTCATTCTCTAAAGAATTGAAGAGAACTGTCTAGGGCCAGCCTTCCTTATTTACTTTAGGAAGATTTAGACTTATAAAATAAGACAAAGAAATACTTTCTATCAAGCTTGAATTTCTGTATTGTGATGGCAATCGAGTCTTCTAACTTTTGAATTCTTGTATGTCGCTTTGACATTAGTATTTTAAAATTAATGATCCCTCATGAGAAACACTGGATCCTACGCCAGCTAGGAGTTACATAGGGATGCATACTGGGTTGTTTCTTGTTTAACCTAATATTAACAAGATTGTCAGTATCTATTAATAACTTTGTTTTGCACACTTATGCACGGGCGTCAGTATGGGGAACAAATGGGGTAGTTGTCTCCCTCAAGCCTCACTAGCACTTGCACCCACCCAAGCTACGGCAGTGCTTTCACCCTACACCAGCCATTTGCACCCACCAAGAGAGAATCTTGATTGATATGTGGGGTTTACCGTCCCAAAGCCACCATATGATTATGAGAGACGTCGTAGTGAAGGACTCCAGAAATTTCGACCACCTGGGGTTCTTTAACGTGCACCCAAATCTGAGCACACGGGCCTACAACATTTCTGCCTCCTTCAGAAATGCAGCCGCCGCCGCCGGGATTCAAACCCGCGACCTGCGGGTCAACAGCAGAGTACCTTAGCCACTAGACCACCACGGCAGCGCCCAAGAGAAAATCTTGCTGATGACCATTCACTTATGGCACCGATAATACAGTTGTGTGCGAGAGCTAATCTCAAGGCGTGTGCTCCTGGGTGTTGCGGCTTCGCTGTCTGCGTTTGAGGCGTAACCGATAGATCGAAGTCGAGAGAGTAAACGCGGAGTCTGTAGATATCAAGAGCGACTGCAGCCTCGTTTTCTTCCTCAGTCACGCAGGCTGTCTCCCCACCCCTCGCTTTCCTTCTTTATGGTCGAAGTTTGTGCGCATTCAGTGCGGCAGGCTTCGATTGTCGTAAAGTGGCTGTAGGCGTTCCGCTTAGTTCGCGGCGCCTTCAACGCACATAGTGGTGTGCGTGAAGCTTGAGCACTAGCAGTTTAGTGGCAACATGTAGCGAATTAAGGTTAGGTTTCTCTAGCTGCGGAGTGCATGTGGCTGCAGTTAGCATTGCTTCAACAAAAAGCTGCGCGTAGAATTCGCGTTAAGTAATATCGTAATCTTCGTAGAATTTTCGGTTAGTAAAAATGGAGTGTGACTGTAGAAAGTGCACTAGAAATTATTGTGGCTAAACGAGAGGGATCACTTTTCGCCACGGGGTAAAGCATGTGCTAAGACAGGAATCACTGGCTTGCAGCTATAGAAACATGAAAATTGTGCCAGCCATGTAAAACTCTAGGTGTTCGATTAACATAAAAGTTGCTGAGGGATGTGCAGGCCAGTCTCGTGCGTTAAGCTGTCTCACGTTTTAATTGTTCTTCCTACTAGCGGCAGTTCAAAGAAGCTCCACGTTATTTAAAACAGAGCTTTACGCATCATTTACAACTTAGCCAAAGATAATTCTTCTCCACAGCTCAGCTGTTTTTACACTATTACGCTGAGTTCTGGCATATGCATATACAAGATAAGGAATATAATAATGCTTACAGATACAGTAAGATCAGCTGAATACTCATCTATGTAACACTTACCGCTCGTGCGAAAATTCTAAACAACACCACACTAATTACGGGGCCCAGAAGAGAATATCTCTACCATCACCATGTGTATTGAACAAAAAATAGTCAACATCCCGCAGATCTGCGCTTTATGTTTTCGTCGTTAATCTAGAATAACACGGATGAATTTAATCTTTGATGTGTTCTTTTCTGTTGGTCTTCTCGACGTTGGGTGTACTGGTCGCGTTCCTTTGGCGGTTATATATGGTTATGTACGCCAGTTAACGTATGCCATCACGACATGCTGCTGAACAATAATCAGCTGGGAAGCTTAGTGAAGTTCAAGAAAGCTTTTTTTTTCACATGCTCTCCGCTGTAGGTAGGTCCAGTTTGTTACTGCATTGATGAGAATCAACGGGATCATCGCAGAATGCTTAACTGCCATTTGCATTTCTGCGCGACTGGATGTTTACAAGCCATAAGTCAACCCCACCTGATAGCCGCCCTACGGAAGCCAGAATGGAATTTTCGGTAGCGTGAAAAAAAAAAAACAATTGAGACCAATCAAACTTACTGCGTGCGTTTTTACGCGTGCAGAAAATGTGAGTTTATGAATTTGAAATCGTGTGAATGAGTTTTCTTCTTTTCGCCAGTTTCGAGTTTTTTTTTCATGTGAACTTCGGTATAGTAAGCTAACTACAAGCAGCCAAGACAAGCCCATTTCGGAGTCATTAGTTGTCAATATGGCGCTTGCGGGTTGTGCGATGGGTTATGTTGCTTGTATTCTGCTACCGTGTTTATACGTCTTCTGTGTGCAGACTCTATGCCTCTTCGAACTGTGCGGCAAGTGTGAAACAGATGTGGTTCAGTAAAACTGTGAAGAGTCATTTGAAATGCGAGGTACACCAAAAGTCACGTTTTTCATTTGCGGAGATGGTTACCGCGCCGTTGTGGACAACCTCGTAAAAGGCTTCATTCCGCTGAGCGTTGCCGATATGCCAAAAGAGGCCTTTATCGGTAAAGTGAGCCGGGTAAGGACATCAAGAACAGCTGCTTTTGCAGGGATGTCCACCTTCTTTGAGGTGAGTGTCATTTTATTTTCCATGACATTTTCCCTGGCGTGCATTTAGACGAAAAAAGGAAGGCACAACAAAAACATGTTTGAGCATACGTGCGTTTTAATTTTTATGTGCCACATTTTATCCGTGTGTTGTGTATGTTGGCGTGTGGCACCTGATGCCGCGCGTTTATGTCCCATGAGATATTTCGTTCGCAATCATGACCGATCTGTATTAAAATGTCTCTATTATGTGTGGCTGCACAAAGACATAAGTTGTAGCTGCCACTGTTGATCGCGATCAAAAAACCGTATTTGGGTTGGCCCTGATGGAGCTGGAAATATCTGGTGTGAGACCTGTAGAGTTGTCAATATCTGAAAAAGTCAATGTCGCTATTCCCAATGACCAACCTGCATTACATTGCATTTACTTATTATTAGCGTGCAATAGTCACACATTCTACGTTTTCATTCCTGTGTGGTTATTTATAGTAGTCTGCTCTCCAAATTTATGTGATCTCTGATTAAACTATTTTTACTGACCTCGTGCAGATGGAGAAAAAAATGACTCGCCGTGCAACACAATCTTTCCTACTAAAGTGACTGTGAAAAGAACGTCAGAACTTAGAAGGTAAATGTGCTTTCATAGCAAAAGTGATTTTAACAACATATACAAAATGCTACCTTCCAATGTCCTGGTTGCTTTGACAAGCCGCACGTCTATACAATAGTCGCCCATTCGAGTACATTTGCGCTAATTGGCTAGGCAAGGGTCACTCATTTTATGTCACATTTTTTTCATGTTCTGTTCGGTCGTAAAGTAGTAATTAGAGCAAAAATGATGACTGCTTCATTTGAAACGTTTAGGTACATATGTAAGCTACATCTGTACATATTTGCCATTTATATTCAGACATTTGCCAGTGTGTAGCACCAACTCACTCACTTATTTATTCACAATACTGCAGGCTAGCACAGCCCAAGCTGCAGTGGAATTACAAGAAAGGAGAATGGTACAGAATTAAATAATAACAATACTGGCACCACACTCAAATACGTCAGTTTTTGCCAGGATAATTCTTACGAAGAAAAAGAACAGCACTAATATTTAGCAACCACACTTTCGACTTAGTAATGTAAGAGTCTCAGTGATTTAGTATTCAGTACAAGAAATGTTGATCAAGGACTTCATCACAGCTGTCTGCCTTGCAACTTCTTTTACTCTCCGCCTAGAAGTTCAGTAAGCGAGTCTGCAGCAAGCAGCAGAGCGAAGAACAGGGCTGGGTGAAAGCACAGGTCTCCAAGCCAGCATTTTATGTTAGCAAAGATATGGCAATCAGAGATAGCTAAGTTGAGTATGTATGGTGTTGGCTGACTGAACTTCCTGCTGCTTCCTCTGTGGCCCCACTTTGTTTTGAAAAAAAAAAGACGGTGTCTTATGACATCTCTCTTTGCTTTTTTTTTATTTGCGCTCTGTAGGCATTTGAGAATTAGACCTGCAATACTAGAGTGAGAGTCAAGCCATGTTCCATGAATAAGTGAGGCATAAACTCGCAAAAGCTCATGGGATACGCGCAGTCTGCACCAGCTACCATTTCAAAGGCTCTACGTGTGCTGCATCACTTTTTGAGTATTGGCGTTTATCCGTGTCGCTTGCTTTCTTCTTGATAACGCAATGCGTGTGCTGCGAATTTCTAGCGCACAATAGCATGGCTGCACCTACGACTTACAAAGAAAGAGAAGCATGTGCTGTGATTGCCAAATAGTATTTTCATTTGAAGAGGTAAACAACCGACTGAATGTGCTATCACACTTGTGTTTTAGGTGGCGCGGGCTTGGTTGTCACGTTTTTCAACTAATTTTACACTTGCATATTAACACACATCACAGAGTAATGTGCTTATTTTTACGCGTTTGCTTCAGTGAGGGCACTCAGCTGTTTTTTCATTGGCAATTGAACACTCTGTCGCTGGGTCAGATTGTTGGATATGTAGTATCTTGTATCAATGTTCACCGTGTGCAATCAGTATCATACGTTACTAAATCTGCGTGTTCAGTGGTGAGGGCCTGACAAAATGTTCAAATGTTCGTGAATGACATCGACTAGAATGCTGTGCTGAAAAAGTTCGAAAGCAAAATCTGTCTGCAGTAACTTTCATTTAGTAATGTCGAGCTTCTTAGGCGTTTCCGCATTGCATCACGTTGGTGAACAAGCTGGTATAGGCGACGCTCGCCTCACAGTCAGGCACCGTGTTTGTTAAGCCTAGTTACCTGTCCTGCTCGCATGTGCAGCAGGTCAGGTTTGAATAAATTTGCTACGAAAGAAATGCTTGGAGGAACAGTTGAAACCACGAGCAACCTATTGTATACCTGTTATATGAGTAGAGTAGGGACGCGCCCTTTCTTGTCTACAAAGCATTACTGAGACATAATTTTCTCCAACTGGTGCGAGGTCATTGCCTTCTTAACCACTACTAATTGTGCACCACTAATTGTATAACCACTACTAATTGGTGCCGTGGATTCCACAGTGTCACCCCTGGCATGATGTCGTGCGGCTGTTTTCTGCTCTGTCTTGCTATTTTCTGTATCAAGCTCAAAGCTGGCTGTACGTTGCATGGCGGCCGTGTATTTTAAAGCAAACGCCGTATGCTTGTCGTAGCTGTGTAGATAGTGATAGTGGTCGTGCTGATGAAAACTACACATCCAAACGACTATTGTACTTCAGTTTTGGCGCCTTACATTCTCTTTTGATGTGCCAATATGTTGATGGCACGTAGTCAACCTGCCATGGATGTTTGCTGGGAGCGCCTGTACGTAAATACCGAATGTGTCAAATGAAACCACCCATGCAGGATTTTCGATAAATATTACTCAACTTACGCTAGGCATCCAAAGGCTATACCACTCACAATATCTCTTCACAAAATCCACTTCAATTTTCTATCTTTGTTCCAAGGGAATCTGAACATTTGTTCCCGTTTGGTGCTGTTTTCGACAGCTGCACAGCGGACTATGATTGTGCAAGTGACTAGATTGCAACACAATTGAAAAAAAAAGCCCTTTCTGCGGCTCCAAAAACATGGCCAGTGAAACAGCTTGCCACAGATATCTTGAACTAGAAGCCGATGCAGATAGCGAATCTCATGAGTCTTTGTGGGTTTATGCCTCTCCTATTTTATCAAGGAAACACCACCTTTTATCTCCCCAAACACAGTAGACATGCACTCCTTCTTGAAGAAGGTTCACTTGAACTTCTTTGCGCTCATCAGAATGCTTCCACTGTTTGTAATGCAGCTGCATTTCTTCAGTTCTGGAGTACATCATGGTAGTGCTAGAGAAATGTCGAAATGGCACCCGTTTGTCGTTTTGTTTTCATAGCCAGTCAGCATTTTAGGAACTGACTCTGCACACAGTTCGCAGCACTGGAGTCTCTCTCTCTGTGTCCAACCATTGTATACCATCTGTGCTGTATTGAGCTGATTGCATTATTTTGGGAAATGCATCACTCAGCCTAAAAACTCTGACCCAATAATTTTCCCGAATTATCTGGTCCGTTCAGTCAACAAGACCATTGTTTTACACTTGCTTCATTCTCAGTCAGTCTTCATTGTAAATATTGTGCATCATGCTTCTAATTTCCTACACTATTGCAGTGCCTTGCTGTCATGTATTGAAAGTCGTGCTGTACACATTGCTCAATATTCGACGAATTTCAGCTGCACTTCACTGCTCAGCACCCCAAAGTTGAAATATAGTACACACTTCACCCTTATCCGAGGCATGCTTACATGGGTGCTTTGCGTCAAGAACTGAGAGCTGTGACCTCATAAGATAGACAGGCACACTAAAGAAATCGTACAACACATATGCGTTGCATCATGAAATTGCGACTCTGAAAAATATAGGCATCGTATTTCGACTCTGAAAAATATAGGCATCGTATTTTATGAGTTAAATTGTATCTCTGGAGTGTGAACATGTCAAAGCAAGCTTCTCAAGTTACGCTCGTGTTGACTGCATGTATATTACGTTCGTGAAGCAGTTTTTTTGGTAATGATTTGCATAAATTTATGTGGCTAAATCTCTGCATAAACATCAGCCTGCAAATATGGTGTGCAACAATTGCATAGTTATAAATTAAGGAGCACATGCAGCTGTTGCAATCAGCAACACAGCAGGCAGAATAATATTCGACAACTGAATATTCATGGCTACCTATGAAGTAATAGATGACTTAGTAAGGTAGTTACTGCAACTCTAGTTTTGAGGTACATGTTACTGAACGTACAGACTTCGTAGTATGTTGTGTTTACCGAAAAATTCTCAGCAAGTGCTCCTGGAGATTGAATGAAAATTCGACAAGGTTTCATGAATAGGCCCTTGCTTAGTCAGCAGTCAATGTTTGACGTGAAAGTGGAAGAAACACTGAGAATAAAAAATGCACATCTGTGCGTCTACTTATGAACTTTCATGAATGCCCATGCATACATGGCTTTATTTCGCCTTCACTCGGCAAATAGAAACACTGAAAATGGTGGTAGAGGAGAAGAGGCTACTTATTTAACACTTCTTGAAGAAAGTAGGGACGTGCTTGCTCTGTTAGAAGTGCTTACTCTGGATGTTATGGCATTTAGAGCATCACTACTGACTGGTAATATTTTTTGTTTCTATTGTAGTGGAAAATTCGCAAGGCACTGGCTAGTGGGACCATTTCTCTCGGAGTGCGGAGCGCGAGTGTGTGCACGAGCTGTAGACGCTGGACGGCTCGAGCAGTTCTGTTCCTACCGGCTGCCTGCCTACTACCTGGCGTCGCTAGGGAGTTTATTAGCAATAGAAACTGCAATAGAAACTGCAAAACTGCAGATTAATATTGCGATTCTCAGAGTTTGTCAATTGATTTAACATGTGCAGTAAACTATAATATAGACTTTATCATTGGCTCCTTAGCAAGGTGGTTCAAAATACTACCTACGTCTCTACTGAAACTCCATCTTCTCGAAATGGCGTTTTTTGTTATGTCCGTATGATAGTTTTAAAATGGCAAAAGATGTCATGCCGATTGTTTGTGCACATACTCAAGCAACACATGGTGGTGTACTGAATTGAGCTTAATCCTTTGGAATAACTTTCATTTGATCCAAAGGAAAGTGTGCCAAAGTTGTCTAAAATTATGTACAGGAGCAAAAAATGCATTTTTTGTAAAACAAACCATACTTTGACTCGGTCAATAGAACACAAGACTCTGAAAAAATTAGTATAAACATCTGGTCGCTATCACTATTACATGCTACCGGGTAAAAATAAATTTTTACAAGGTAAAAAATACGTAGAAGTCTGGGACTTGGCTGGTCTTCTCTAAGTGACTCAGTGCTCTGAAATAAGGAAGAGTTTACATACACCCGCAGACCTGTCTTAATAAAAAATGGCAACGTAAATACATGGTGCAGAAAAGTTATTGTTAACCCTTATTAGGGTTAACAATAACTGTAATAATTGTAACTTCTTATTAGAAAGCAGTAACCGGGTAGATTAAAATGGCTGACTTAATAGCCCCCAAAATGTACTGCTAAAGCTTGAACAGTTTAACATCAGGTCCTTTCAGCAGGGGTGCAACAGCTGCGCCAATTGCGCCGATTTGATACAATTCCCGATTGTTGCACCAAGCTGTGCCAAATCCGTGAAATTGTTTAAATTGCACCCTGTTGCGCCAAAATGCCCAGCCAGTCTGAATTTTTTTTCAGGCGTACTAAATTCGGTGAGCAATGCAGGCCATGTCGGCCACCTGCAGCTTTACGCCATCAGTCAAAGCACGCAGACCCGAACTACAGTGTCTAGCATATACCTAAAATAATCTAGCCACCCAGACTATGCTGGTGAGACGTGATCGACCAGATAAAGTAACAGCACTGCATGCTCAATGGTCCGCTGACCGCAACAGATACGTATCAGAAGGACGGCGGAAGTTCAAAACAAAATTATGTTGATATAGCCACCAACCCTTCGCGGAAAATGTAAGTTTTCTTGCCAGAAAACGCGGCTATGGATTATTAAGGCTCGCACGAGCTCAACGTGCTGCAAATGCCGGCGTTGATTACCTTAGCAGTGGCACTAAACACGTTTTTGTCTGGAAGCTGCGTCGTCCTTGCCATGGTCTTGGCGATAGATATCTGGTACCGTCGCCGGGGCAACGGGCGCGTGCCGTTGTTACTTTATCTGGTCAAACTCGCCTTGCAAGGTAGCCGAGGCGGCACATAGCCCCACGCTGAAAAGGGTGGGTAAAAGGGGGGGGGGGAGTGGCGAGTGGTTAAAAAATTTGTTGACTTTGGTTCTAAAGCTGCTTGAGTCCCCTTTGCCGCACTAGACCGGTGCCCCCCGAAAAAGCATGTTGATATTTGCATGTTGATATACTGTTAAAGCATGTTGATATACCGGAAACTTCACATTTTGCTCAGTTACTCGTGCGTTTGTACACCGTTCAATTCTGAGTACCAGCATAATCACTGACGTATAAATAAGCTACTGGCAATCGTTTGAAGCAGTGTGTGACATTTATGCTCCTCTAAACAAACTTAATTGTGCGCCATTTTTTTCACCATCTCTACTTCTCGTTTTTACGAATGTTCCAGATTTCAAGCTCACAATATCGGCAGATTAATATTGAGATTCTCAGAGTTTGTCAATTGATTTAACATGTGCAGTAAACTGTAATATAGACTTTATCATTGGCTCCTTAGCAAGGTGGTTCAAAATACTACCTACGTCTCTACTGAAAATTTCCGTATGTGCGGCTCCACACATACGCCAATATTGGACTACGGAAAGCCATAAGATACGGAAAGTTCCACAGATAAGGAAAGCTCAGGATGCGGAAAGGTCCGCAGATAAGGAAAGCCGCATGATGCGGAAAGCTCCGCAGATAAGGAAAGGCGTATAATTATGCGGAAATGAAATGACCGTCCGAATCTAGTGCAATCTAATGTGTAAATTGAATAGACGTCCACATCTTGAGTACATGCAATACTGTGTAGAAATCACAATATTTCTTAAAGATGCATTATGAGGGATTGAATCATCGACATCTTTCCAATTGTCGTGACGCGGAAGCAAAATTATCTTTTCAATAAAATACGTTACAAAGCTACTAAATCAGCATGCTAGCAATCATAAATGGTGGTTATATTGCAACACTATAATGCAGTGTTCTATGCAAGACTTGAAGAACTTGCAAAAGAGAAGCATTAATTTACACATCAGCCCTGCTACAATGAATATCTTTTTTTATTTGTCTGTGTGCTCCAGCTGTGAATAGCAACATTGCAGTGTTGATGGTACGCAAATGAGGTGACTGCACCGTAATTTTACGAACTCGACCTAAGCCACAGGATGGTGGCACAAAACACAATGTAACAGCAATTTTGGAACAAAATCTTCAAACATAAATAATAATCATAGCACTGTGAAAGTGTGGCGCTGTATTTATCTCATGAACGCCTTGTGGAGATCGGCGACATGCTGCTTGAGGCTCCGGCACCACTGTAGATATCGGAGGTCACTGCCATAGAACTTATGTGTCCTTCATAGGCTTATTATTATTATTATTATTATTACGTTAAGTTTTATTGGCGCAAGGGCATCTAAGACCAAAGAGTGCCAGTACAAGTGTTGTTTCATTTCGGTTATTAGTTTAAAAATTAAAACAAATGATGAGTAGCAAATATCTATGAACCATTTAAAACACGGTGCATTTAAAAGGAATAACACTTTGTTAAAACCTTCATTTCGTTGGCTGAAGTCTCTGATAATAAATTAGTCTGCAAGGCCTAAGACCCTCGCAGCTGAAGTCCTTGCCTGGGCAAGAACTACGAAGGCTCAGACATATTTTTATGCACCAGGCGGTACCTCACACTTGAGGCGCAGCCTGGTGGCTAGGATGGAATGATATCATTGTTAAAATTTGACCTTCCCAAGATAATGAAGAAGTCTCTTAAGGTCAACCACTGCATCAAGTGATAAAAAAAGCGCTGGATGAAGTGGGATATGATACCGATAGAGCTCCCTGAAACGGGTCAGTCATGCTTGGTGAAGCACAGGACATTGTATGAGGACATGCACAACGGTTAGACTCTCTCCACAGTGTATACATGTAGGTGGATCAGTACATGTCAAAAGGTGTTTATCTGTAGCACAAGTGTGGCCTATTCTGAGCCGTGTTAGAGTGACTTCGGCGATTTTGTTCAATTATTGCGGGATAACTTTTCTCAGCTGGGTTTTACAAGGTGGAGTTTGTTGTCGACTTCTCTGTCCCATTCAGCTTGTCAGCGGTTGCGTAGACCTCTACGTACAACAGGTTCTAGATCTACACCCGGAACAGTGGTTTTATCTATGGTTTGCCGACCAGCGGCTTGTCGTGCATTCTTGCCCACTATTTCATTGCCCACAATTCCAGAATGACCTGGAACCCAGCAAATAACAATAGAAAGTTTTAAGTTGTAGGCTGCATAGATTTCGTTAAGGAGCTTGTTGAAAGTAGGGTTCTTGCTGTACTTGCCACAAGACAGGGCCCTGACAACACCTAAAGAATCTGTGTACACTATAGACTTTTGTATCTTGTGTTGTTTAATGTGTTGTATAATAAGCAGGATACCGTAGGCTTCCGCTGTGAAAATGCTGGTATGCGTATGCATGGTTCTGGTGTCCGAGAACTTTTGTCCGTAGGCTGCACAAGATACAGATGTTTGAGACTTTGAGCCATCAGAGAAGAACGTGGTTGAACGATATTTGTGTTCAAGGGCCAAGAAATGTTGCTCAATGAGTGCACTTGGACAATTTTTCTTTATGATGTCTATGAAAGACCAGTCACAAGTGACTGGACATTGCTGCCAGAGAGGGATGTGTTCGACATGGTCACTTTCCTCCAAGTCATTGAAAACAATTTCAAGTTTTTCTACTGCAGGTTTTATTGCCAATAGAAACGGTGGGGCGATAAAAGGACGGTTTGGGTATAACTAGGTAGTAGACACATCGTTCATAAGTGTTTTGCATGGGTGCTGCTTCAGAGACATGATCTTAACTGCATAGTTGACTCTTAGATACGTGCGCTGATAGTCTAGTGGCCACTGATCTGACTCTGCATAAAAGCTGTGAATAGGGCTGGTACGGAAGGCACCAAGTGCCAGCCGGATACCTAGGTGGTATACAGGGTCCAACATTTTCAGTGCTGTCCTTGAAGGTGACTGATAAACTATGCATCCATAGTCTACGCCTGACAGAACCAAGCTTCGAAACAGAGATATGAGACAGTGCCTGTCTGTCCCCCATGACTGATGTGATAAAATCTTTAAAAGGTTCATGGTCTTGAGACATTTTAACTTCAGCTGTTTTATGTGCTTGATGAAGGTGAGTTCGGAATAAAAAATTACACCAAGGAATTTTTGTTATTTCGTGATAACTATGTTTTGTCCATTCATTAGTATGCAGGGGTCAGGATGCACACCTCGTTCGTCGTATCGAGAACAGCACACTAGTAGTCTTGTCAGTGTTAAACTTAAAACCATTCTCGTCAGCCTATTCTGCAAGTCGGTTAACACCTAACTGTATCTGGCGTTCGCATACAGTCAAGTTACACGATTTGAAACTAATTTGAATGTCGTCCACGTATTCAGAGTACGATATCGCAGGTGGAATAACAGAGCGAAGAGAGTTCATTTAAACTATAAATAATGTGCAGTTAATACTCCTCCCTGCGGCGCTCCATTTTCTTGAAGAAATGTGCGCGATCACACAGTACCTATTCTTACACGTAACTTCCTTTCAGACAGGTAATCTTTTAAGATGGTAATCAACCTGCCACATATTCTGAAAGACAGTAGATCTTGC